CAATATATGAAACATAGGAGACTAGCAGAGTATCTAGAAAGAAAATGTTTTACTCGTTCCGGTCCCAAATGAAATTCACACTTTCCTTTTTGGGTAGGTCCAAAATAAACTTCACACTTCTTCTCTTTTCCTTATTTGGCAACTCATCTACATCAAAACAATGCAAAACAGTGTCAAACAATGTCACAACAATGTACTCTACAGTAAAGTCAAATTTATTTTCTTAATTTGTGTGAAGTCAAAGTGTGAATTTCATTTGGGACCGTAGGATGTATTATTTAAAGCAATACTGGTTTCTTAAGTTGACTGCAGAGTTGATGGGAATCATCAAATTGATCTCATCAAGTCTCTGAAATCTATCTCCAACAGTCCGATCCAAAATTTTGGTCCTCAATTTTCATAAACTTTAATACCTAGAAAAAAAATACTCTGTATAATTTTCTACTTTATGTTTTTACTTAAAAATAAATACAACAAATTGAAATGAGAAAGTTACTACGGAATAGTAGGAATACTATTATAGATAGAAAATCAGTAAGCAACGATAAATATGAGTAAATGAGCCACCACGGTGTTAACTCATGATATCCTTGCGTCCCGGTTTTATATCTTTACTTTCTTTAGCTAGCCAAAACCTTAAAATACAGATTTGCAAACAACACTATTCTTTTAAAAGTTTTAAAATTAAAAATATAAATAATCAAAGTTTTTAATTTAAAAGAAATAAAATAGTTCTTAAATAACAGGAGGTGGCTGCATGGGTTTGGTTTTGACTTTTTATCTTCCATCTCGAAGGGACTGAGCCCTGAGGGCGGAGTTATTGGCAGCCGGCCGTTTTTTGGGTCAAGAATTATTCGTAGTGTACATATTTATTAGGGATAAGAAAGAGTATTTCTTGCCTCACAAAATAATTTAATTAGGCTAATCCTCTATTTTTAATAGCAATACAAAATGATCTCTCTCCTTTGGTATTTTTCTCTTCTATTTCCATGGAGCTCTTCATCACCGATCCCTTTCCTCCCGTTTGCGTTCTATTCTTTCCATCGAAAGCCCGCACTCCAATCTACCGGCCTGCTCTTCTTCAACCGGAAGCCTGCACCGATTGTTAAGTCTTGGGAGTTGGGAAACTGTTTTATAAAATCTGGCGGATTTCTCAGAGTATCGTGTGATCACTTTCCGAATCTAATATTTCGACCATATGCCTGGGTTACACGAAATTTAGATTATGGGGATAATCACTCTCAGAGACAGTCTAAAACCGAGGCACCAATATATAGACCACGAACTAGCAGTTTTAGTAGAACTCGAATTCTTCTGATTACCAAAGAGATAAGGCCAATCAGTTAGAGTTTTACTCTAACAGAAAGTCATTCTATTAAATAATTAATATGGACATGTTTATCCGAAAATAAATTTCCATATTTATTTCTTTAATAAAATAAAATTTTGGTCCAGGGCGCTGCCCCGAGCCCCGCGAGGGCGGCCTCCTTGGACCCCGCCAGGGCGCTGCCCCTTGGACTAAAATTAAACTTGAACTCCATTGGTAATCTGTAAATTCCATTACACTAAAATGAACCTGGTGATACTAAAATCACCAACAATCCTCCCCCATTTTAGTGTAACCATGAATCTACATAAACAAGAATAAGAGACAACCAAACTTATGCATACATGAAAATATCGAAACGATTGAATTTTCATATTAGTACATTACACATTCCAAATACTCGAGAATCAGGGTGTTCTAAGAATTGAACCCTTCAACCCATTTGAATACATGAAGATAACATACACATAAGTTCAAATAAACAACTAGTTCAAAACTTTGACACTATTATTAAGCCGAGTGTCCCAATCCATTCATAATCGTATAAAAGTCAAGTCCCAACTTTTCGAAGTGCGGCTACACTTCACGATCATATAGGTAATTCCTTTAATCATGTACCTGCTTACATTTTAACAAAGGAATTATTAAGAATATATATTCAACCCTTTTACTACAGGTCCGAACACACTAACCTGGGATGACAAAATGCATGTGTTCCATTCCTTAAGTATGAGCTTTCCTCATTGAATTCAACCTCTAATATTATATTAGAGGGGAATTGGGTGTCTCATCATTATGGAATTAAATGGACTTTAAACCCATCCCAATCGCAGATTTGTGCACTAAGTCCCTGGCCAGACCTTTAGTTAAATGATCCGCCAAATTCTGTTGTGATTTCACATACTCAACAGAAATTACACCCTTCATGATTAAGTCCCTAATCATACTGTGTCTAACACCGAAGTGTCTAGACTTCCCATTATACACTTGGCTATAGGCCTTAGCCAACGTGGCAGCACTATCACAACGAATAGAAATGGGTGCAATTGGCTTTGTCCATAATGGAATCTCAAAAACCAAATCCCTTAGCCATTCTGCCTCTTTACCGGCAGCAGCTAAAGCAACAAATTCAGACTCCATTGTTGAATTTGTAATGCAAGTTTGCTTCTTAGAGGCCCAAGAAATGGCACCTCCCCCAAGCAAGAATACCCAACCACTTGTAGAAGAATGATCTTCTAGGTGATTTATCCAGCTTGCATCAGTATATCCTTCTAGAACCGAGGGATATCCAAGATAACATATTCCATAATCCATGGTTCCTTTTAAGTATTTGAATACTCTCTGAATTGCTTGCCAATGTTGAGTACTAGGATTGCTAGTATACCGACTCAACCTCCCAACCGCGTAGGTGATATTCGGACGAGTGCTTGTCATGGCATACATCAAGCATCCTATAGCTTGAGAGTATTCTATTTGTGATATTGCCTTGCCTTTGTTTGGCATTAATTTGACACTAGGGTCCATGGGAGTACTCACGGGAGAACATTCACTATAATTAAATTTCTTGAGAATTTTCTCAACATAGTGTGCTTGCGTCATAGCAATTCCTTTGTTCAACCGCTTAATCCTAATACCAAGGATTACATCAGCCCCCCCCCCCCATATCTTTCATGGAAAACCTTGATGACAATAAACTTTTCGTTTCATCAACTTGAAGTTGATCAGTGCCAAAAATCAGCATGTCATCAACATATAGGCAAATTATCACACCACACCCGGTTGAATCAAACCGACTGTAAACACATTTATCAGATTGGTTTAGCTTAAAACCACTTGATAAAATAACTTCATCAAACTTTTGATGCCATTGTTTTGGTGCTTGTTTCAGACCATACAAAGATTTGACAAGCTTACACACTTTATGCTCATTACCGGGCATAACAAAACCTTCTGGTTGGTTCATGTAAATTTCCTCATCAAGCTCTCCATTTAAGAAGGCTGTTTTGACATCCATTTGATGGACAACCAGATTGTGGATGGCTGCCAAAGCAACCAACAATCTAATGGTAGATATCCGGGCCACTGGTGCATATGTGTCAAAATAATCAATACCTGGTTTTTGTTTAAACCCTTGTATTACCAAACGTGCTTTGAACTTATCTATAGTTCCATCTACCTTCATCTTCTTTTTGAAGATCCATTTGCAACCCAAAGGTTTAGAACCTGGTGACAAATCACATAGCACCCATGTATTGTTTTCTAAAATTGATGATAATTCATCATCAATTGCCTCTTTCCAAAAGGTCACATCTCGGGATTCCATGGCCTCTTTAAAGGTCTTTGGATCTCCTTCAATACTGTAACAATACGAGTATTGAAATCCAACCTCATCCCTTGATCCTTCCACCAAATACAGCTGGAAATCGGAGCCAAAATTTTTAGCAATTCGAGCCCGTTTGCTCCTCCTGACCTCTTGGGGTTCCAGATCTGATATACCTTCTAAAGTTTCTGAAATTTGTCCTTCATTACTGTTAGAAATCAGATCCTTAGGCCTTGGGATTGATGAAAAACGCATTTCATCAAAAATCGCATCTCGCGACTCAATCATGGTATGTACAGAAACCGAATTATTAGGATCTATAACATAGAACCTATATGCCTTGGAATTTTCAGCATATCCTATGAAAATGAAGTCAATTCCCCTTTCTCCCAAAGTATTTATTTTGGGATTGGTTAGTTTGACAACTGCCCGACAGCCTCAAATTATGAGGTAACTCAAATTTGGAGACTTTTTGAACCATAATTCATATGGGGTTTTCTTGTTCCTTTTATTTGGAACCCTATTCAAGACATAACATGCGGTAAGCATTGCCTCCCCCCAAAAACTCTTACTCAAGCCTGAGTAAGACAACATCGAGTTGACCATTTCTTTTAAAACTCGATTTTTCCTTTCGGCAACACCATTCTGTTGTGGTGTATATGGTGTCGTGGTCTCATGGATGATACCAACTGATTGGAAATATTGGGTATCCATATATTCCCCTCCCCGATCAGTTCTAAGACATTTAACCGGATTGCTTAATTGCAACTCCACCTCGGTTTTGTATATTTTGAATTTTTGTAAGGCTTCATCCTTAGAATGCAACAAATACACATAGCAAAACCGAGTTGAATCATCAATAAAAGTTACGACATAATTTTTGTTGCCAAGTGAGGGAGTTGAATGAAAATCACAAAGATCACTATGAATCAATTCCAAAATTCCAGAATTTCGATTAATATTTTGAAAAGGTTGTCTTGTGATTTTGGTCAACATGCAAGTTTTACATTTTTCTGTATTAATATCAAAGGCAGGAATTGATCCATCTTTTGACATTTCCTGCATTCTTCTAAAATTAACGTGACCTAAACGAGCATGTCATAGCATGGCATTATCAATTGAAGAAGTAAATGATGCAGATGATACAAACACAGAATTTCCAACAGAAGATAAAGTATCAACCAAATTCAAGCAAAACATACGATTAGTAAAATAACCAAAGCCAACAAACGTGCCAAATCGAGATAAAATAAATTTATCCGATTCAAAGGCTTGCTTAAAGCCATCAGAATTTAAACAACCACCACTAACAAGGTTCTTACTAAGCCTAGGAACAAATAAAACATCAGACAGCTTTATTGTTTTTCCCGAAGTAAACGTAAGACTAACAACTCCAAAGCCACAAATTGGTTGACTCGACTTATCACCCATCATCACCGTGGAACCATCATCAACTGGTGTCAATTTCTCGAACCATCGACGATCTTTACACATATGACTTGTGGCACCCGAGTCAACCCACCATGTACGGTCATCATCCTGTACATAAAAAGAACCAGGAATTAGTGAACAATAATTCTGAGTAGAATTATAAAGTGGGTTAGAAAGATTCTGACCTCCTCTAGATGCAGTAGAGTCCTTAGGCCCACTGTTTCCACCACCATTGTTTCCTCCACCACTATTTGCAGCATTGTTCTTATTGAGATTCACCCGACAATCACGCTTAACATGACCCGTCTTTTGACATCTCCAACAAACCAGATCCTTAGGATTCTTATTTGGTTTGTCTCGGCTATCATTCTTGCGTTTGATGCCTTTTCCCTTGTGATTTTGATTGTTTTGGTTTACTTCAACCATGTGGACAGTAGGCTGTCCAACATCAGGCTTTGCCTTATTTTTGTCACCTTCTTGAATGCGGAGTGATTCCTCAATCTGTATGTGACTACCGAGTTGTAACAGAGACAACTCTTCATTCCCATGTTTCAGATCACGCTTGTAATCCTTCCATGTTGGTGGTAATTTTTCAATTATCATCGCTACTGCGACGCACTCATCCATCTTCATATTATGTTGAGTGAGTTGGCCCAGAATGCGAAGAATTTCATTGTATTGTTCCATAACAGACCTTGAGTCCATCATCTTATAGTGATAAAAATCACTAACAAGGAACTTCTTACTAGAAGCATCCTCAGCCATATACTTGGACTCAAGTGAATTCCACAATTCCTTCGCACTCTCCACGTTTTGGTAAATATAAAATAAAGTATCAGACATACCGTTTAGAATATGACCCCTGCAGATGTAGTCATCGTTTTCCCACTTGGAACGACGCCTTGACTGCTCAATAGTTTCATCTTCGTGATACTCTGGCATAGGCGTACTCAGAACGTAAACCACCTTCAGTGTGGTCAACAGAAAGTGCATCTTCTTTTGCCAGCGACGGAAATCAACTCCTTGGAATTTCTCCAACTTGTCGAATTTTACAGATTCAGCCATGATTTTCCGAAACAAGAAAAAATATTAGATTCGATTGTTAAGTCTGGGGAGTTGGGAAACTGTTTTAGAAAATCTGGCGGATTTCTCAGAGTATCGTGTGATCACTTTCCGAATCTAATATTTCGACCCTATGCCTGGGTTACACGAAATTTAGATTATGGGGATAATCACTCTCAGAGACAGTCTAAAACCGAGGCACCAATATATAGACCACGAACTAGCAGTTTTAGTAGAACTCGAATTCTTCTGATTACCAAAGAGATAAGACCAATCAGTTAGAATTTTACTCTAACAGAAAGTCATTCTATTAAATAATTAATATGGACATGTTTATCCGAAAATAAATTTTCATATTTATTTCTTTAATAAAATAAAATTTTGGTCCGGGGCGCTACCCCGAGCCCCGCGAGGGCGGCCTCCTTGGACCCCGCCAGGGGCGCTGCCCCTTGGACCCCGCAAGGGGGCGCAGCCCCCTTGACCCCCGCCATTTAATCGAATCAAGTTTAAATTTAATTTCGTACAAGTGTGCGCTCCGCACCTCCTAACTTGTCTAAAATTAAACTTGAACTCCATTGTTAATCTGTAAATTTCATTACACTAAAATGAACCCCGTGATACTAAAATCATCTACACCGATTCAAAGAATTTTGATCACCTGCACAAACATATATTAGCCGACCTCCCAACAATGGTTGATAAGGATTTGCAAAGGGGGAAAGCCCGCACTCCAACAATATGTCTGCCTTCTCTTCTTCAACCGAAACCTTCACTTAAAACCCCACCGTCAATTTACCGTCTATTCATTGCAACCTCTCACATATCCCAAGTCATCCCTCCGTTCTTAATCTCATCCTCCATAGCTGCCCTACCCCTCGAGAAATCATGTCTTCCCCATTGCTGCCAATATTTTCTTCTACTGCGACTCTTCTTCTGCTCCCCAATCCACTGATGGTGTAGTTTTTGCTTGGAAAGCCAAGGAACATCGCAATCCGGAAACTCAGAGTCAAGAGACCCTAGGTTATGTACAGTCGTACAGAGCACGTCACAAAAAGACAATTTTCAGGTTTGATATCCAATGTTAAAAGTTTTACCTAATACGGAGTACTAATATTCTTATGAAATGGTTTAATCACCATCTTCTAAGTTTGTATAGAAGCTCCAAATTAGAGGCTTCTAGGAAAAAGAAGAGTCTAACTCTCATGAAATGGTTTAGACTCTTATAGTAAATAGTGGACGTACCGTATGAGTAGCTTTTTTGTTTATTCAAAGAAAATATGTGAATATACCATTGGCATTGGCAGGAAAGGAATCACAAAAACCTATAGAGAAGTCTTTTCGTTTGAATATACAGGAAATAAAAGAGCAATAAGATACTTTCTGAGTTTCTGGACTGCTAACTAACCCCATAATATAGTGGATATACAGCATTAGTGTTTTTACCTTTTAAAGGCAACACATTTGAAAGGTATCACAATCTGTTTTCCTTTTAAGTTTAGTCTTGAATGACTCAATTTTAGTCACTAGCTTAAAATTAGGTAAATACTAAAATTTGAAGTCCTTGGAATTAGAAAATCTTAACCCTCAAGATAAAAACATATGTGATGAAGCTGTATAGCCTTTTTATTTAAATGTTAATTTCTACTTTTAAGTTATATTTTTGTGAATATTAGATCAGTGAAAATGAGCTTTAATTTGTTGGTTTTTACTTTGGTGTATGTCGAGCTTGATTCATTCTAACGTTAATTTGTTTTTCTACTTTTTCCAATTTCTATTTAAGTTGAATATAAGATATCCAACCCAAATTTGTTTCTATTTCAAAGGACTTTTTCACGCATAGTATGCAAGTAATCGAGATGGTTTAAAGCATTGTACTTGAGTGAGACATTTCCAAGTCCTTAGATCATTCTACATACTTTGTTAGGTCAGAATTAATGACAAGATCAAAGCATTGTACTTCACTGAAACTTTGCTATAATAAAACAGTGACTCACTTAAAATTTTCAGCTAACTTAGTTTTTAAATTATTTGTTCCATTTCCATCAATTGGTTATGCTTAGTTGTTCATTATCTAATCTCTCTGGAACGGTTTGCAGCCAATTTTGTAATCAAGGTCATGATGAGAATTAATTGTAGCTGTAGTTGACGTGTATCTTCTCTCTCAGTCGTAAGTCACTTCTTGCTTGCTGGTATTGTTAGGATGTTTTTACTTGGACTGTAATTTGCTGGTCTGATCTGGTCTGGTCTGGTCTGATCTCGTCTGGTCTGGTCTGTACTGGTCTGGTCTGGTTTCTTTGTATTTTTATAACTATCCAAGTCTGGTCTGGTCTGAACTGGTCTGGTTTGGTCTGGTCTGGGACGAATTACAGTCCAAGTAAAAACATCCTTATTAGTTAATATAAGACATAATTGTGTATACATTTTTTCCAGAATAGTTAAATACCTAATATAGAAAGGTAGTTTATGTCCTGGTACTATCTATTTCCATAATTCTATATGCAAATGAAGTTCTATTTGAATTTGATGTTATACATCATAGAGTTCATCCTCCATTCACAAAAGCAAAACCAGTGCTTGATGCTGGTAGCTTATGTGATTTGGAAATGAACTGTCCGAGAAGATCCTTATCTTTCTTGGTTAGCGAAGCTTTCTTTGATATAGAAAACAAAAGAAGATCATGGGGATGAACGACCCCAGAAGGCCCAAGACAACGGGATTCCCTTCGCCATCCAAGGGACGTACGTATCCTAGGAGCAGCACGAGACGCACGTCTCACAGGACTTTGGGTCCAACAGGAAAACAGAGGCAAGCTCATGGGGACGAACGCCCCCACCCATTACCATTATTTTTAAAGGGGAAGTAAGCCCCCTAACTACACGCATTAACTAAATCACATTGATGTTAAAAAGAATGAAAGAAGATAACACTGCATTTGTAATTTTGTACACAATGAAACTTGTGGGGGAAACTTAAAACAAAGTAACTGTTTTAAGAGTTATCACATTGTTCTCATTTTACCCTAAGTAAACTTATATTGCTTGAAACCAACTCCAAAACTACCAAGCACATAGGAAACTTATTACTTGAAAGATAAAAGGAAATTTGTCAGAAATTCTGAGACTAACCTCCTCAAGCAAGCTGTTCATTGTCTGTCCATCGGAATTTAAGAAATCAACATCCTCGTAAGGTAGCTCAGTCATGGAGCAGATGAGGTATTTGTTCCATTACAATGCACACCTAATGAAAAAGTATTCAAAATTTAAGAGTTTTATAAATCAGTAAACAGAAACAACGAAGATTGCATAATCATTTTATCACATATACTGCAGTATTATTGTGGATTGCATAAAGTCTTTTGTTCTAACTTCAGTATGATCACATAAATTATACTTTTGTTAGAAATTAGACTTCTGTTAGAGCGAATTGAGTTCACTTCAGAGTATACTACATGTGCGATTAAATTTCTGTCTTTTAGATCATATAAACATTTCATCGAACAATATATATGCAAAATACATAATATTGCCAAAAAGAATATGAAATTCCCCAATTAAAAAAGGACTGTCTTCAACCATCCAATTGAAGATCGAACGAAATAAAAAATATATTATATATGAAAAGATGATATACCTTACCTTAAGATTTAATCGGATGAAGCTTTTATGCGAATTTGGAAATTGATGAAGCATGATACAAAGCTTGGAGAAATTGCAAAGGGGAGCTATGAAGAACCTGGAGATATTGAAGTATGATACGAAGCTTTTATCGACCAGCAACCTCTAGTGTTGAAATCCAAATATATTATCAATGCTTTCCGTTGTTGGAAGGAGGCGCTGTAGATCGAGTTGGTGAGACGGGCCGGATGGAAAAGAGGGAGCATGGAAGGGGTGAAGTTGAGTGGAAGAAGCGGATGAAGATTGGAAACGCGGTGAAGGGGGAGAAATGGACGGAGATGATCGTAGATGAAGAAGATTGAAAACGGAGAAGGGGGAAGATGGAGAGATGATAATGGAAGGAGAATGAATAGCCCGGAGAATGAATAGCCCATGATTGATCTGCAGAACCTAGGGGAGGATGAACGGTGAATGATTTGTATAATGGAAGGTGCATATGCGTAAAAACATTAGGCGGGATTACTGTTGAACAATATTTTTTTGTTAATATAGATTAGTTAATGGAAAAACACTTTTACTTTTGTGTGCATATACTTGCATCATTATAGGAAATGAAAATAAAACGGGGATGTCCTGAGATTGAAAGTACGACACTATTCTTGGGACGTATAGAGTATACGAAGTATGAAGATAGGTTGCCTTTTGTATTTGGCAGTAGAAAACTTATTCATTCTCAGAATCTATCAGGAATTGCAATGAATATTATGTGTGAGTGGACTTGGGGAGAATAGTATTTCTTGGAATGGATTTGGAATCTGTGGAATAGAAGCGTTTATTTGGGTATTTTCTAAGACTACGGGAGTATCGTGCGGACATAGCAAATATACGGGACTTTTTGACCAGTTTCTGAGAAAACGGGAAATAGTATTGTGTCAGAGGC